GGCCTCGTTCTGGGCTCGTGGCGATTGTAAATCTCGCGCTCGCGCGCTCTTGGGCCGCCGCGGGCGGCCGGAGTATATACGGCGAGTAACAGCGAGTAACAGCGGCCCCGCGAGTACCTACCTACCTACCTACCTACCTACCTACCTCCGCCAACCCTTTCTACCTCTTTCCTTTCACTTTCATCTATCGCGGGCCCCGTTCGTACACTCGAGGCCCCTTCGGGACTCACTCGCTGCCACCGCCGCCGCCACCGCCGCCTGCTCGTTCGCCTGCCTGCTCGCCTGTTACACGCCTCCGTGTAACGTACTCGTATATACGCTCGACGCAGAAAAAAAGATTGTGTTATTGAAGAAACGGTAGCGAGGCCCCGCAGCCGGTCCCCCCGATGGGGGCATCGTATGGGTAAAAAATTCTCATCCGCTTGCCTCGGTTTTCTCTCTTTCTCCTTCGCGCCTCGTGGCCCTCCCCCTTCTCGTCCTCCGCACCCGGGGCCCGGTGAGATCGATAACGAGAGTGTATTAACGAGCTGAAAATTGAAGCGGTCTCTCGCGCTGCTACGCCGCGCCCGGTATCCAGCTGGGAAAGTCTGATAAGCGGGTTCCGTTGCATCTGGTGTTCTCTTTAGCGGCGTGCGTTATCGAATCGCGATGAACGGTGCGATACGAGCGGGCTATTCGGCTAATTTTCACGTCGTCGGCCGTGTAAAACCGGCGAAATTAGTTGCGCGCGCGCTGAGGGAGGATTGACGACGACAACGACGGAGGCTGTAATTGCTGGCGTCAAATGCGAATATCGGATCTAGATTAATATGCGCGCGTAATGGCTCCAACACAGGTGAGCCGGTAACGAGCCGGTGCGAATCAACGTGCGCTTTTAACGGGGCATCGCTTACGACGTGGAAAAAGATGCGCTTGTCGTTAGGAAAATAAACACGCTGTTAATCGGCGCGTCCGTAACGGCGTCAGCGTGTGCGAGTTACGGCCGTAATTTTCTACGGCGAATTTTTCCAGCGAACTGCAATTCCGCGAGCGCTCGCGCTTTATAAATGCTCCGACGAAAAATTATCCTCTGTTTAAGCGGCAGCGGTTAAACGAAGCGTCTTTAGAAGCTTCACGCTCGTCTCGGATTTACCGGATCTTCGGAAAAATCTCGCGCTCGCCGGTCGAACGGAAATTTATTACTGGCTGTGTGATAATTTTAATAATAATTTTATTACTCGTACGAACACTGAAATTACTTATTATCACGGGCCAATTTATACGGCAGCCAGTAATATATTTCTGTAAGGGTTGTCGATCCATGGTCGACCTCCGTTGAGAGAAATACCGTTTCTTCCTTATTTCTTTAACCCTTTGAGGCACGTATCTTTCAAAAAATCCGAATCACACGAAAATTTATATACGGGGTTTCTGCGCTCGCTGATGACGAATCCGTTATCAGATTTTCGAAATTCAAGATGGCGGATCCAAGATGGCGGCCACAAATATGAAAAATCGCGATAATCTGAAATCCGCCATCTAGGAAAATGAATTTTAGAATGTGGACCTCAGATTCGTAATCAGCGACCTCAAAAACTGACCAGAGTACAATTTTAGCTAATTTGACAAAAATTCTATGATCCACCATCTTCAATCCGCCATCTTGGAAAATTAATTTTGGAATTTGGACCTCAGATTCGTAATCAGCGATCCGAAAAATCGCCAAATCTTGATTTTGAGCAAAAAATTCACTCATAGTTCGTGGAAAATGATTTTTTTCTGAAAAAATGTGTACTTCTCACACTTTGTTCATTCATAATAAATGAACAACTTATGCAAAACACTTTTCAACCTTTCACGTGTGTTCCCATATCATGTAAGAAGCTAAAAGACGCAAAAAACCCGACAAGAATCCCTCAAATGTGAAATATTTCAGGAAAATGTGAGGATAAATAGGTGGCAAGTATACTCAGCACTATGCCTCAAAGGGTTAATTATGAATAATTTGAAAACATTGAAATGTGAAAAGTTAGAAGATTGGAAAATTTGTCAATTTGGCGGACGCTTGCACTGTCCTTTTTGTGCGTGTCACAAGGGGCATTCTTCTCCACGGATAAATAAATAAATGATCGTCTGGGCGAAGCGCAGGCTCCGAGGGCGAGGCCGGCTTCTCGCGCACTTTAGATGAAGCGCTGATGAACTCGCGAACGTCGCTCGGTCTGAGACGTCGAAAAGCGACGGGTGAGAATAAATATTCGGTAATAAAGGGATGTAGACCGCACATCCTCTCGAAATTACGGCGCTGCGCGGTGCGCTCGCTTCACCGTACGTAACGTATGACGCAGTGGAGCGATGCGCCTATCGGGCGCAGAACTGTAATTTCGGAGTAACGACTCGCGCTCAAATGTTGCACGTCCCTATTGTGCCGCGCATGAAATATGCCGCGGTCGAGGGGTCGAGCCTCTCTCGTGCGACAGTGAAAGTGTTCTAATTTTGGACCGGGGAAAGACCACGTACCGCGGTACCACGCGGTGCTACTAATGCGCCGTGCGCTCGTTATCGACACTCACCTCGACGTTTATTGTTCCATCGCGCTTCGTTACGGCGCGGCGCGGCGCGGCAGCAACGCGCGTTAGTGCTCGCCGGCTAATAAAGAGACGCGTGAAACGAAAGCGTCGGCTTAAAATTCCAAACTTATTGAGCGAGATATCGCGGTACATTTCTCGCTTGCGTCGCGCTGTCGCGACTCGCGACGGAGACATTTGAACAAACGGAATAAAATCAGCATGTCAATGCTTCGCCACCGCGGCCGCGTCGTTCGTCCGCATGACTTTTCGTCTTTACATAATTTCGCCCCGGAGAGGGAGGGGCCACCTTTCCGCCCGATGATAATCGCCGCTCCGCTTGCGATCGGTACCTTAATTAGGCCGCTGCGCGACGACCCAGCCGCCGATCGCCGCAATTTGTGTACTAATACTCATTTACAACGATTTACATATATGTTAATGTCCGGTTTTCGTGAATGGAGGAGCCGCTCGAGCGAGCAGAACGCGCTCCGCGATGGGACTGGAATCGCTGCTTTCGCTCGGCAATTCCTCGCGAATTCCGCGCTCTGCATTTACTCTCTCCGCGCGCCGATCGAACGCGGACTCGGATTACGCGGACCTTAAGAACTGAATGGCTTCGCGCTGCAAACCCGTCGGCAAGCCGTCGCGGGAGAGATTTCGCGTATGTCCGCGCTTTGCGAGGCAGGTCCGCGGATTATGAAAGAAAAATGACTCGTTTGTCGGCGGTTGTTGTGTTTCCGCGATTTCCCGGCTCCGCTTCCCGCCGTGTTTTCACCGCCGGCACATCCGCGCGCGCGCGCGACCATTCGCGGAGGCGGACTTTCTTGCTTACGTGCCCGCTTACGTGCGGCTCGCCGCTCTCGTATACACCTAAACTGCCGGCGTAATTTCTCTCCGTCGCCATTGTTACTCTCAAACGATCTCGCAATCGCGCCGGGTCTCCCTCTTGCGACACGCTAATCATCCCCGGAGTCCGTAACGTCGCCGCGGCATGGGACGAGCGACCCGAATAGCGAATTTCATCCGGTCTTCGGCACGTTTCTTAAAATCCGAAAGAAGGAGCAGAGGATCGATCCTACGGTGGGCGGCTCTGGAAAAAAATCGCGCACGGCACGAGCGGAAGCGATGCGCCTCGACCGACAGGTGATCTCACGCAAGCTCGGAGGCAGGAATGCGGGAGAGAGAGAGCTGTTAATTAGGAGGATCCGAAACTTTTCCACTCGACGTAATCCGCGACTGAATTGAGAAAAATATAAGTCTCGACGCATAAACTTGCCCGTCGTTCTGGCAGATTCAGAGATTCTTTATTTCAAGGAATCGAACCGAACGGATAATAACAATTTCGGGCGAAACGTCGATCTCGTCTTGACTCTGAATGGCGCCTATTTATATTCTCGCGCAGTCGTAATTGCGTATAATGCAACAGAATATCATTATTGCATCAAAATACGCTCGTGTATTTTTACGCGCACTTTACATTTATAAATTCGCCGTGCTGTTTTGTATGCTCGATTAACGTCGCGCATTTCCGCGTATTGTCGGTGTCTCGTGCGAAAATACCGCCTGATAGTGCGAACGACCAAGCGCAAATACGCGTATTTGCTTTGATCGCCTGATTACAACCGTGCCGTGATAGAAAAAAAATTTTGCCGAGTTGCAATTTCGAACGTACGACGCCGCCGGCGCTCATCGCCGCGTTGAGAGAGATGCGTCTGTTCCGCTCGAAAGGCTCTGAAGTTCTCAGTCGGGAGGTGAAAAGGAAGATATCGCGAAGAGGAAAAGATCCCGACTGTCAGCGGGAAATCCGCTCGAGTCGCGCTCCGCGACGACGAACGACTTACGGGCTTGCGACTTTTTCGCAGGCGGAAAAGCTCGCGGTGTTTGCCGTCCGAAAGAGTCGCCGAACTTTGTCAACTTCAGGGCCGTCCTTGATCGCAGGCGGGAAGCTTCGCTCGACGTTGCTCGCCGAGGTCGCTGAAGTTCGCAACCGGCGCGGTGTTCCGCAAAGAGGACAAAGGGACACGCGAGCGCGCAGAAGCGCGTACTTTTCGGACACGGTGTATGCCCTCGTCGGTGCGCGCACGCGCGCGCGCTTCGCTCGCCCGCGTTCGTTTGCGCGCGAGCACGCGCGCGTGTTAGCAGCGGCAAGTCTCCACCCACAATGTGAGATCATTGCGATTACGTAAGTGTCCGGCCGGCGGTGTGGACGCGCATAAAAGTATCGTGTGGCATACCGCTCCAGTGGATGTTATGCGCCGTAGTTTCGCCGCCGCGGTGGCTAACTGCGCTGCAGCTGATTTTCGCGAGTAAGAAAGGGGGAGGCGATTTTTCGCGGCGGCGGGAAACCGCCGGTGGTATTCGCCGCCGCCGGATCTCCGCGCGGACGCCGCGGCTTCCGATAGGCAGCTGGACGCTTTTCGTGTTTCAAGTTTTTTTTTCTTTTTTTTTTTTTAGGAGCGTTACGCGAATCGTTGTTCCAACCCGGGGCGTACTTAGCGCTTGGAATGCAGCTCCGGGACGCAGGAGAATTCTTTCGCAGCAGCTTTTCGCATCAAGCGATGATACATGCTGATGTATCCTGGGTAATTTAATATTAATATAACTTGTAACTCTTGTCGGCTTAATATCCCGAGAATTACGCAAACGGCTTTAATCGTCCTGTTCTGGAACTGTAGATCCGTCTCGAAGGATAGTGCGGGGAAGCATTAAAATTCCAAGCGGGCAAATTTTGATAGACGCGACGTCGTTAATTTTAAAATCATCAAATTAACAAACAGTCAGGGCGCTATTGTAACAATATATTCTCAAGACCAAATAGAGTAAAAAAGTCTAGTACTATTTTCTCTTCCGACAAATACTTAGCGAGGTATCGTAAGTTAAATGTTGAGAAAGAAATTACCAAATTTTCCTTAAATATCTAAGAAACTATTGGGCAAATAAGAAAATGTTTCAGACGAAAGCTATTGAAACTAATTGGTGGAAAAAGATGACACGATAAAAAATTAGGCTTTCCATTTAAGAAAGGTAATGATCAGTGAATATCTTGAAAGTGGCGCCATCTGTAAACAAAATTATATAGTTGTTTTATGTCCTCCTCAAAGCCGCGCAACTTTTATCGAGAACATTTTCCTCCAAAATGCTTAGTTTTCGAGATATTTCGCCGTCCCGATACTTTTTATATACTCTCTGTACATATTATTTACACATGTCCGTCGCGGGAAGAATAAATAATTATAGCATATCGCGAGGCGTAACGCACTTGCAAATCCGCCGCCTATCGAGGATGAAATCCTTATCCGGGATTTCTTCGGCACGGCGTAGCGCAAATTGCAGCACGATAATATCTCGGCGAGAATCTCGCGATTGGCGCGCCGGCAATATTCCCAACGTTTAAGCATTAACTCGAATTAATTATGCGGCGCATGCGCGATCGTATAAATAAAGCTGCGCTGCAATTCGTACGCGCGATTTGAAAAATTACGACGAGCAGCGACGGGTGTGGTGTGATGCGCGTGTAACAGGATGCACTTTTCTCGCCTTCACTTACGCAACGTAACTCTATAACATCTCCGACAGGAATTACCTTCGCCGTGCGTCAACGCGACAATATCTCCTGCGCGCGCGCGCGCGGAAATATTTCTCGTCGACGGAATCGAGCTGCGATTTCGAGCCGGGGGACTCGGCTACCATCCCGCATCGGGAATTCTCTCTCTCTCTCTCTCTCTCTCTCTCTCTCTATCTCTCTCTCTCTCTATCTCTCTCTCTCCGAAGGACTCGCCGCGACGAATTTCGCCAGGTGAACGAAGGCGCGTCGCGCACGAAGGGGGATCGCCTACATGGGCTTGCGTAACAGCTGAAAAAAGTCGGCGTAACGCGTCGGAATCGCGTCGTCGAGCGCTACGACGACCGCATCGCGCGAGCGATCAAGCTCGCGGATAAACAGACGGACAATCGGAGGGCTTAGCTCACCGCCGATTCGCCCGAGGCGATTTGATCGGCATCGACCGGAGCAGATCCATCGATCGATTGATCGATCGATCGATCGACTCGCGGCGGCGGCGTCTTTTCTGCGAGCGCCGAGCGGACGGGTCTGATGCATGCGATGAGGAACAACAGCGTAACGCGATGAAAACAGAAATAATTATTCAAGGCTACCGCGCGCGCGACACGGCGGAATTGCCTGATTAGCTATGTAGATGAAAGTCACGTTACGATTAAAGCGCGACGCGGCTATCGCGATGAACGATCGCGCGGGCGCGCGCGGGCCTCCAACAAGTGTCCAACGCGGCGCGCTTCCGGCGCCGCGTTCGCCGTCGTCGCTGGCTGCGAAATCGCCGGAATGCCAGGAACAGAGACGATAACTGGCTCGGGGATAAAGTATTAGTCGGAGATTAATATTCTATATTTATAAGTGTAATGAACGCGACGGGGGCGCCTCGATCGCCGCGCAATCGGGGCGAGAGGACCTCCCGAGATGAGAGGCGAGAGGCTCGGTGAGAGGCTTTGTTTCTCGGAGCCTCTCGCGGCAATTTTCCCCGGAGTTACGACTTGAATCATACATTCGTGGAATGTGGCGCGAATTGAGTTAGTCAGCGGCGGAACAGCGTGCGTTTTCGAACGTGAGCATTCGGCGCGACGGCGGCTTTGAAAAGCGCTCTCCTCCTCACGTCTGCGCGTCTACGAGTCGGGCTGCTGCTGCTGAGTTTCGGCCGATGTCGATTTCGGATTCCCGCTGACACGCTGACTCGACGTCGCGCCTCGAGCCTCGAGTCCTCTTCGGGGAACGGCGCGGCGCGTTATTAGCATGAAGGCGAAATTGCAAAGAGAAGTTGCGAGAGTTAACTTACCGCGAAGTGATCTTCGCTCGACATTCCTTGTTTCCGCCTGACTCACTCGCACGCGCCGACAAGGCCACGCCGAAAGCGGCGATCTCGGCTATATTAAAATACATGCGCCAAGCGCGTTCCCGAGACGCGGAGAATGTAAATGCAGAGTGTGAGAAGTTGCTCGACTACAGCGCGACGAGAGCGCGGATGGGAGGGAGGGAGAGAGGGGAAAAAAGAATTCATCTGCATCTCCCGATTTCTCCACGGTAGCGCGCGCGCGCGCGCGCGGCTCTTTTGCAGTTCCTGTGCGGTTCGTGTGCGTGTGTGTGTTGGGTAAAAAAAAAAAGAAAAAAAAGGAGAAGAAGAAAAAATAAAAACCGCTCCCATGCTCACGATGATGTTCGCAGCCGGAGCGGTGGAAGTGACATTGGCGTCTCTTACGTAAATTATCTTCTGGTTTCTGGTCTCGCATAATGATATGCATCTGATATGCATGGAAAACAAATACCCGGGGAAAAATACGGTAACGATGACAGTTGTGCAGTTTTAACGCGCTGACGCTCCAGCGGCACGCCGTGCCGTCGCGCGCGGGAATAAGTCATCATCTCTCGAAGATTTTCCCTTCGACTCGCTCGTCTCTCTTTCTCTCTCCTTTCATTTTACGCCTCGCGGAAACAGCCTCGGAAGGAGCACCCAATGGAGCTCCCGGCGAATTAGACGAGAAACATTTAATGACGAGACGAATGAAAAGGACGAACAAGCGAAAACGCCCGTCCTCGACAAGAGAGTTCGCTCCGACAAAATGCGCGGCGGTGTTTTGCGTGCCCTTCGGATCCGGAACGGAGCGCGATGTTGCTGGTCTGTCGGACGGGAAACTGCACAGTGGAGAGTGATGAGATGGCGGAGGAGGAGGTGGAGGAGGAGGAGGAGGAGGAGGAGGAGGAAGATGAGCGCGCGAAGGGAGAGAGAACGATAGAGCGTGGCCGGGAGAGAGGAGGAGCGAAAGAGATGCGGGGAGAGACAACGAGTCATTCTTGCGTAACACGCATATACGCGCGCGCTCACGCAGGCACGCACGCGTGTACGCTCCGGTGACGTGGGTATATGTAGATCTTCTAGGTAACGAAAGGTCATCCGTTTAATAGTTGTCGATCGCGCATGCAGGCGCGATCGGATCCCCGCAGATGACTAATCCGCGACCATACGCGGAGGTGCCCCTCCGTCCGTCAGCCACGATGGTGCATCTCTCGCTCTGCGCGCTGCGCAGTAAAAGCTGCTGCAGTTGACGAGTCCGCTCTCGGTGACATTGAACGCATCTCCGAATCTCCGGCGATTCGAGCGACGTCGCTTTTATTTCCACTCCACGCCCGAGCCAGGTGACTGCGACTTTGCGCGTACTCTTTCTCGTGATCCTTGGGGGCGAGCGTGGAGGTGACTGCGAAGGGATGGTTTGCTGAAAATTCTCTGACATTGAAACGACACTACCAAATGCGGAGACGCTGAAAGTTCTTTGACGATGAGGTCATTTTCAAATCCTCTTTGAGGATGTTGAGAATTCTTTGACACGATAAAATCATTTCTTTTCTTTTTTAATCCGAACGGTCTAAAAATCCTTTGACATTAGAATAAAATATATTAATACATTAAAAGTCATTTTTAAACTTTGAGGCTGCTGAAAATTCTTTGACACGATAAAATCGTTTTTTTTTTCTTTTAATCTGAAGGGCCTAAACATCCCTTGACTAAAATAAAATGCATTAAAATATATCAAAACACAAAAAGTCATTTTCAAACTTTGAAGTTGCTAAAAATTTTTTGATAACGATAAAATTGTTTTTTTTTTAATCTGAAGGATCTAAAAATATCCCTTGACATTGAAATAAAATATATTAAAATACATTAATACACAAAAAGTCATTTTCATACTTTGAGGCTGCTGAAAATTCTTTGACATGATAAAATCGGTTTCTTTTAATCTGAAAGGCCTAAAAATCCCTTAACATTAAAATGATTCCACCGAATCTGAAAATGCCGCAAATTTGTTGGCAATGGAGTAATCATCCAATATCTGGACGATTCCAAGTAAATCGGGCTGTTTTCCGGTGGTTTTACGCCGGATATTAATTGTGATTGGTTAAACGCGCATATCTAGATATCACTCGTACAATATTAGAGAGCGAGATAAATCATTGAGACATCAAGAAGTGGAGCGGAGCAGGAGCAAAGCGGGAGGATCAGAGCTTGCCTCGGCTGCGCGAGAAGCGCAGATATCTTCCGGGAGTGACGTAAATTTATAGTAAGCGCGATACACGCAGACAGTTAGATTACAAACGGGAACACGTTCGCAGGATAGTAATTACAACTGGCAAGAACGCGGGCGTACGCTTATCCGATAATTTGCGCGGTTAATAGAAGCGGTTTACCTGCGTATCGTACTCTTTGCACGTAATCAAGTTACTCGTTTTACGGTGCGATTTATGCAACCCGAGCCGCGCGCACTTTTTCCCGGCGTGCAAGACTCGCGGATTCATCGCGACGAAAGCGCACTTTGTCGCTCCGATGTCTCGCCGAGGTAAATCCGAGGCGGACGCGGCATCTCGCGCGACGAGCAGCCGCTACAATTTCGCTGAGTTTGGATTTCGATGCGCTACGATTACGCGTGGGGAATAAGATCATTTTTGGACAACTTTAACGCGAGAAAGAAAGAGGAAGAGAGAGAGAGAGAGAGGACAACCAAACCCCGATTCGCCAGCAAG